AAAAAAAAAAAAAAGAAGAAGAAAAGAAAAACACAGGAAAACTTCAAATTCATAACAGTGGGGAAAGGGGAAATTTTCCGTGTTGAGAATCCATTTGCTCCTTTGTGAGTGATCATTTATTTTCTTCTTAAAGCTGTAAATTTTATTTGCGATCATCCGGACATCAAAGCAATCAGCTTTGTGGGATCCAACCAGGCAGGAGAGTATATCTTCGAGAGAGGATCAAGACATGGCAAGAGGGTTCAAGCCAATATGGTGACTTCTTATTCCTTTTTTCTCCAATCTTTATTCTATATATGAAAATTACCTAGGAACAGACCTTCAGCAGAGAGGCCACTCATCCCACTCCAATGTCAGTGTTTCTTTTATTTTTTTGAGACAGAGTCTCTCTGTCGCCAGGCTGGAGTGCAGTGGCATGATCTTGGCTCACTGCAACCTCTGCCTCCCAGGTTCAAGTGATTCTCCTGCCTCAGCCTCCTGAGTAGCTAGGACTACAGGCGCGCGTCACTGCGCCTGGCTAATTTTTCTATTTTTTTTCAGTAAAGATGGGGTTTCACCATGTTGGCCAGGATGGTTTTGATCTCCTGACCTTGTGATCTGCCCGCCTCGGCCTCCCAAAGTGCTGGGATTACAGATATAAGCCTTACCATGTCCTTCTGAATGTCTTCTCTTTAATCATGAACCTTTAGAGGAGTTTCATTCTAAGTCACGTTAATCACTTTTTTTTGAGACAGAGTCTTACTTTGTCACCCAGGCTAGGGTGCGGTGGTGCCATCACAGCTCACTGCAACCTCCACCTCTCAGGTTCAAACGATTCTCGTGCCTCAGCCTCCCAAGTAGCTGGGATTACAGGTGCCTACCACCACACCCGGCTAATTTTTGTATTTTTAGTAGAGATGGGGTTTCACCATGTTGGCCAAGCTGGTCTCGAACTCCTGACCTCAAGTGATCCGCCCACCTCGGCCTCCCAAAGTGCTGGGATTACAGGCATAAGCCACTATGCCTGGCTCTTGAAATTCTATATCAAGAGGTCTACTTTCTGTTTTGCCTTTCAGCTGGTTACTGGCATTATTGCTGTAAGGCTGTAAGTTCTCTCTCTTTTTTTATTTTTTTAACATTGCTCTTCTTATAACTGAAAAACCCAGCAGACAACAAATTCTTTCCTTTTGTTGTTTTTGTGTTTTTTGTTTTTGTTTTTTTTTTTTTGAGACAGGGGTCTCACTCTGTCACCCACTCTGGAGTACAATGGTGTGATCTTGGCTCACTACAACCTCTGCCTCCCAGAATCAAGGGGTCCCCCTACCTCAGCTTCCCAAGTAACTGGGACCACAGGCTTGTGCCATCATTCCTGGCTAATTTTTTGTATTTTTTGTAGAGATCGTGTTTCACCATGTTGCCTAAGCTGGTCTTGAACACCTGACCTCAAGTGATCCTTCCCACCTCAGCCTCCCAAAGTGCTGGGATTACAGGCGTTAGCCACCATACCTGGTCCACTGCTTAATTTCTTAGCTTAATTGTATTTGGCCAAGGAAGATTCCTGTGCTTTTCTGTATTTTTTTTTTAGGGAGCCAAGAACCATGGGGTAGTCATGCCAGATGCTAATAAGGAAAATACCCTGAACCAGCTGGTTGGGGCAGCATTTGGAGCTGCTGGTCAGCGCTGCATGGCTCTTTCAACAGCAGTCCTTGTGGGAGACGCCAAGAAGTGGCTGCCAGAGCTGGTGGAGCGTGCCAAAAACCTGAGAGTCAATGCAGGTAATCAATCACCTGCCTTGCTCCCTTAGATTTTGCATCTGTGGCACTAAGCTCTTGAGTTCTGTCAGTGGCCTTGGCCAGTGGGAACAATCATGTCTATTCTTGCCATTTCCTCTCTTTATATTGTACTTGTCACTTGGATTCATCTCATTAGCAGTGTTTTTTTGTTTTTTTTTAAAGGCAGAGGCTCTCTGTCACCCAAACTGGAGTGGAGTGGTGCCATCCTAGCTCGTGGCAGCCTCAAACTCTTGGGCTCGAGTGATCCTCCTGCCTCAGCCTCCTGAGCAGCTTGGACCAGAGGTGTGCACCACCACCTGGCTAATTTTTTTATTTTTTGTAGAGACGAAGTCTCACTTTGTTGCCCAGGCTGGTCTGGAACTCCTGGGCTCAAGCAGTCCTCCTGCCTTGGCCTCCTAAAGCTTTGGGATTACAGGCATGAGCCCTGACAGCAGTCATAATTTATGTTAATGAGGACCTTAAATTCTTCTGTGTTGTTTTACAGGAGATCAGCCTGGAGCTGATCTTGGCCCTCTGATCACTCCCCAGGCCAAAGAGCGAGTCTGTAATCTGATTGATAGTGGAACAAAGGAGGGAGCTTCCATCCTTCTTGATGGACGAAAAATTAAAGTGAAAGGCTATGAAAATGGTAACTTTGTTGGACCAACCATCATCTCGAATGTCAAGGTGAACAACTTTTATTTCACAAATATGAGAGCTGAAGGTACCTTAAAGGCTATAGAATCTCATCCCTCTAATTTATTAATCAAAATACTTAATGACTAAGACTTCATCTCTTGCCAGGATTGATCAGTTATTTTATCTGGAGTCTGAATGGGCCTCCCCTTCTAACTCCCAACCAAACTCTTTCCACTATACCAGCAGTCTGCAAACTTTCCATAAAGGGATATTTTCAGCTTTACAGGAATATAGTGTCTGTTGCAACTAAACTCTGATGTTGTAGTGTGAGATCAGCCATAAACATTGGGTGGCTGTGTTCCAATAAAACTTTATTTATGGACACTGATACTTGAATTTCATATCATTTAATATATGATTAA